GATAGATAGATAGATAGATAGATAGATAGATAGATAGATAGATAGATAGATAGATAGATAGATAGATAGATAGATAGATAGATAGATAGATCCTTTTCAGCACTAGAAGTTTCAGCACCATGGACAGCGGTAATTTAACCGATACAACTATTTTAACGCCCACAACTCCAACTGTGCATTAACAAAAATGCAACATTTTTTCAAGAATAAAAGTTTTTTAAAAAGTCATGAACGTACCTAGGTCCATATATATTTGGACACTGACACAAACTTTGTCTTTTTACCTGTTTACTGAAACATATTCAAGTTAGTTATATAATGTACATGGACATAAAGTCCAGACATTTAGCWTTCATTTGAGGGTGGCCATCTTAAAATTGGATGAAGGGTTTAGGAGTWTCAGCTCCTTAACATGTGCCASCCTGTTTTTAAAGGGACCAAAAGTAATTGGACAATTGACTCCAAGGCTATTTCATGGRCAGGTGTGAGCAATTCCTTYGTTRTGTCATTCTCAATGAAGCAGATAAAAGGCCTGGAGTTGATTTGAGGTGTGGTGCTTGCATTTGGAAGGTTTTCCTGTGAAGTAAACATGCGGTTAAAGGAGCTCTCCACGCAGGTGAAAAAAGCCATCCTTAAGCTGCAAAAACAGAAAAAAAAAACATCCGAGAAATTGCTACAATATTAGGAGTGGTGAAATTTACAGTTTGGTGCATCCTGAGAAAGAAAGAAAGCACAGGTGAACTCCAATGCAAAAAATACCTGGGTGCCCACGGAAGACAACAGTGGTGGATGATCACAGAATAATCTCCATGGTGAAGAGAAACCCCTTCACAACAGCCAACCAGGTGAACCACACTCTCCAGGAGTTAGAAGTATCAATATCCAAATCTACCATAAAGAGAAGACTGCATGAAAGTAAATACAGAGGGTTCACTGCATGATGCAAGACACTCATAAGCATCAGAATAAAAGGCTAGACTGGACTTTGCTAAAAACATAAAAAAAACTATCACCATTCTGGAAGAACATTCTTTGGATAGATGAAACCAAGATCAACCTCTACCAGAAGGATGGAAAGAGAAAAGTATGGTGAAAGTGTGGTACAGCTCATGATCCAAAGCATACCACATCATCTGTAAAACACGGCGGAGGCAGTGTGATGGCTTGGGTGCACTGGGTCACTAGTGTTTATTGATGATGTGACACAGGACRGAAGCAGCCGAATGAATTCTGAGGTATTCAGAGCCATACTATGTGCTCAGATCCAGCCACATGCTGCCAAAACTGATTGGTCTGTTTCATACTACAGATGGACAATGACCCAAAACATAAAAAAATCAAAAATGGGTTGCATGGGACAAAAAAWATCAGATTTGGGTTGCATTTACCTGCAGTGTGAATGCAAAGGTCAGGAATTTTCCTTTGTTAAAAAGTTCCCCTTTGATGTCACTTCCTGTTTCACTTTAGCTGAGCCAAATTCGAAATAAAATACGCCAGTTATGTGACAAAATGGGTCAAATGTTTATTATGTCAAGTTTCTAAAATACAAAGATGTTTTCTTTGACTTATTTTTTTGAAGCATACCACAGGCACTTTAAAGAGGCAAGTCTTCATCCAGGCTATGCTAACTTTTGGAAGTTTAAAACTGTGAGGAAGCAAGACAATGACTGCTTAACCTGAAGAGGAAAATAATAAATGTTTAATAACTTTCATCAAAAATGGAGAATCAGAATCACTCAACAATTTTAAATGTGATGTGACTAAAACATGTTTGTTTTTAATGACAATGTGTATAAAGAAAAGAAAAAGAAGCCATTGCTTGTGGAGATGAAAYGTGTCCACACGGTTCTCGGTTGTTTTCCTTTCTCTGTCAGATGTTCACAGAGTGAGGGCCAAAAAAGGAGTGGCAAGACTCAATGATTCATAAAGTTGAATAATTCAATGGCTGTATGCATGTAAAGCTCTCTGCCCCTGCTGAACCCACTCCTCCACAGACCTGCACACTTGGATGCAAACCTCTGCAAGACCYATGATGAACAAATGTAACTAGATGGCCAACGTCTCAACATAATCAGAGGRAAACACCAAAATTAGTTGTAAAGATTCATAGGGTAAACCAAATCTGAGACAATATGTTCCTGAAATAAATGTTCAAAATTGATGGGTTTCCACCTTTACACAAACTGTAAACATTTAGCATGGATGGTTGAATGTGAAGCTGGGGGCTGAAATCTGGTATCCAACAATAAAATAGGCCACAAACCAGTCGTGAGTGTGTGTGTGTGTGTGTGTGTGTGTGTGTGTGTGTGTGAACTAGTGATATTGTGGATGCTCACTGACCGAAACCAACAATAAGTGATAAAAGAAGCAGTGCTAATCTCTGTAAATGCAGAAGATCTACAGTATGTGGATGTTGGTCACATGGGCTGAGAGTTGAATTTTGTATGTTCATGTGTCTGTCTGTTAGCAAAATAGCKCWTAAAACACAGCAAATTTCAATGAAACTTYTAGAAAATAATTATATCTACAACTGATCAACATAAGGAGTTGACCCAATTCAAGACAACCTGCACAGTCAGCTGACTATAAAAACATAAAAAYGTATGCAAATCAGTCAGTTTTRCAGATATTCAGCTAAAGTTTGGTGTGGTAGAAGCTGAGACTAATCCTCAACACATATTTTCAGCACCAACATATTACATAATAAGATGTCTGTTTAAAATGTTGCCACAACTTTGTCTGTCTGTTAGCAAAATATCTCATGAACCACTGGATGAATGTTAGTAAAATCTTGAGGAAATAATTAGTGGATGTTCTTCAACGACAAATTATATTTTGGAGCCAACTGCATTCAAAATAGCCATCAGAGCTAAATAAGTTTAGAAAACAGAAAAAATTACTTTAATTTAATTTATTATAGAGATATTGTGCAAAACGTACATGTAAATATTGCTAAGTGTATTTGACAACACATGCACTCTAGTGGTACTGATTGCATGACATCATTGCTAAAAGAAATCGCACCAATCGTTGGAGTTTGTTAGCAAAATGAACCCCTTGATAGATTTTTATTTAATTCTCAAWAAGTAATATGATGGACATCAATTATTCACATTTCGAGTTAATACTTGACGTAGTAGCAGASAGTCATTCCCAACATAAGCTCTGAAGCCGACATTTCACAACACTGCAGATTGTGCATGATTACATTTTTAAAGTTTGGGCAAAATCTCTACTTCTCTGTAATTTCTCATATATGATGTTAGTCTAAAACTGGCATGAACATGTTAATATTCCATCAATAAATTCTAATTCAATGAATTAAAATGCCTCAATAATCTCATTTGAGGTGCAGGATTTATTTATTTATTTATTTATTTATTTATTTATTTATTTATTTATTTATTTATTTATTTA